TCCCACATCACTCATCAAGAAGATGCCCCTCAGACATGGCCACAGGTCGGTCCAATAGAGGCAATTCCCCGATTGAGGCTCCCTCAACCCAGGTGTGTCAAGTTGACACTAAAACTATCTAGCATACCCTGTGTGGCCTGGAACTTGCTGTGTAGACCATATCATATATCTCTATGGGCTGGAGCTCACAGAGATATACCTCTGCTTCTGAGTGCTGGGGTTAAGGGTGTGGGCTGCCTGCCATACCTGGCCAAAGTTTGTGTTTATTGGTGATACTGGTTTCATAAAATTTTTTCCCCAGTATTGCATAACTGAATCATAGAATCTTCAGGCTAAAACATATGTTTCACATCCATTTCTCTTATAAATTACTGTTATAGTCCTGTTAGGAAAAAAAAGATGATATGTTGCTTATATGTGTCGTATACTGGGGCTAGAGTGATGGCTCAGTGGTTAAGAGCACTGGCTGCTCTTGCTGAGGATCTGGGTTCAGTTCCCAGCACCCACATCATGCAGCTAAGAACTGCCTGTAACTCCAGCTCCAGGGATCCAGTGCCCTCATCCAGCCTCTGCAGACATTGCATGCATGGGTGTACCTATGTACATGCAGGCAAAACTCTCATACACAAAAATAAAAATAAATAAGAAAGTATATAAAATGTGTCATATACCAAATGATTAGGATCGAATCAGGAAGTTCTTCCTTGTAGAAGAGATAAAGTAATCACTCAAATTCCATGTGTATACCAACAAAATGGTGTAAAGTGGTATCTGGTTGGGGGCATTGGTTAAGGCTTAAAGGAGGTGGTGTTTTGTCCTATGTTAGGAAGGAATGTTGAGATCTTGGAGGTGAGGAGAGAAGAGGATACAGCACAAACCAAGCAGCAGACAGCATCACATGTGTTGACTCCAGTATTATGTTTGGTGGCAACAATTTATATTTACTCAGAACTGCTTTACTATGTACTGTTATAGATTCAGCATTTTTTGTTCACTTAAAATTTAGAAATCTTTTTCCAAATAAAATTAATAAAAATAATGTAATAACAAAAAGAAAAATTTCATGTTGTTTAAATAAAAACTGTTTGAGCTGCAAAAAAAATCCGTCAGGAAAGTGAAAAGACAGCCCATAAAATGGGAGGAAGCTTTGCAAATCATATATGATGACTTTTATCTAGAATATATAATGAACAGTTAACAGCTAGGAAAGAAGATACCAAATTAAAAATGGGCAACACCTCTGAATAGACATTTCTCCAAAGAATTTAGGCATAGGATGACCAGTAAACATGTGAAAAAATGTTCACCATCAGTAGTCATCAGAGAAATGTCATTCAAACATTCAAACCCTCAGTAAGGTACTACGTTATGCCCAGTAGGATATGTTGGTAAGGAGGTGGAGGAGTTGAAACTCTCATCCCTTGCTGTCAGGAATGTAAAGTGATGTAGCTGCTTTGGAAAGCTGTCTGGTGGCATTTCCTACAAAGGTTGAGCATAGAGTGTACCATATGCCCCAGGCATTCCTCCACTAGGAATAATATGCCGAAGGGAACCAAAGATATCTTTTTTTTTTTTTTTTTTTGTCTTTTTGAGACGAGGTCTCCCTGTAGCCGCAGCTGGCCTGGAACTAGCTATGTAGACCAGGCTGGCCTTGAACTCACAGAGATCCTCCTGCCTCTGCCTCCTGAGTGCTGGGACCAAAGGTATGCGCCACCATGCTCAGCTCCAAAGATGTATTTCTCCACACAAAACTTTACACAAATGTTTGTAGGAATATTCAAATTGCTAAGGCATAGAAACAACCAAATGCCCATTACTAACCAATGATAAAATGTATATTCATATGGTGGAATATTTTTTACTCATTAAAAAGAACAGAGTACTGATACATTCCTCAACATGGATGAACTGTGACAATGTTATGCTAAGTGAAAGAAGCCAGTTACAAAGGCCTGTGTGTCTTAAGATTCTCTTTGCAATAAATGTCTAGAATATGGGAAGTTTCCACTGGAAAGGGGATGGACAGTGATTGCTACTGGGTTTGGAATTTCTTTTGGGGTGATGATTATATCCTAAAATTGATTATAGTAATGGTTGTACCACTATATGAACTTACTAAAAACACTGAACTGTGTGAGTTGTATGTGAATTACATCTAAGCAAAACTCTTAAAAAATAGTGTACCTAAACTTTGAACAAGGAATATAATTTAAAAACTAACAGAGGGGCTGGAGAGATGGCTCAGCGGTTAAGAATACTGAATGTTCTTGAATCCCAGCACCCACATGGCATTTAACTGTAACTCCAGTTCCAGGGACTCTGATAGCCTCTTCTGTCCTCCGCGGGCATTGCACGACATGGGTGCATTTACCTACATGCATGCAATATACACGTACACATAAAAAATAAAAATAATAAATAAAATATTTAAAAAAAACAGAAAAGCTGTAGAACCAGTTAAATTTACTTGAGCTTATATCTCTATATGTTGTTAAAGAAGCATTATCTAGTCAGAAAAAAAGAGTTGAAACTTGAACTTATTTTTTGGTGGTGCCAGAGATCAACCCAGGCTATTATGCATGCTCAGTCACTGAGCTACACTCTTGACTTATTTATT